AGGGACACCTGGACAGGTCTCCAGTCCATCACAGTGACACCTGGACAGGTCTCCAGTCCATCACAGGGACACCTGGACAGGTCTCCAGTCCATCACAGAGGGACACCTGGACAGGTCTCCAGTCCATCACAGTGACACCTGGACAGGTCTCCAGTCCATCACAGTGACACCTGAACAGGTCTCCAGTCCATCACAGGGACACCTGGACAGGTCGCCAGTCCATCACAGGGACACCTGGACAGGTCTCACCATGGTGGCCATCTTGAATGGGTTTGACTCCATAGACATATCAGTCGTACACGTTCATCCTATAATTACTTTCTGATAGTTTTAGTCAAATCTGTCAGTTGGTTCATGAGATATTTTGCTAACGCTGCGAACACAAGCAGAAAGAAGTAAAAATATTGCCGTTGCCTTTGATGGGAGACAAAAATGAACATGCAGGAACAGATGTTGCACCATTTTGTACTTTCCCTTTTGTTAGCAATGTCTTCATGTAGTGGTAGCTGCAGACACGTCTTCCAGAAACTTTCAAATGTTGCTGTGGTAACTCTGTCACTGAATCTGTGGTAACTCGGTTACCGTTGCAGTAGTAACGGTTACTGTTGCTATGGTAACGGTTACTGTATCTACTGCTGTGGTAACTCACTTTCTGTTACCATGGTAACTCGGTTAATAATGTTGTGGTAACTCAATTACTGTTGCCATGGTAACTTGGTTAGTGTTGCTGTGGTAACTCGGTTACCATTGCCATGGCAACTTGGTTACTGTGGCAACTCTGTCACTGTATCAGTGGTAACTTAGTTACTGTTGTCGTGGTAACGGTTACTGTTGTTGTGGTAACCTGGTTGCTATTGCTGTGGTAATGGTTACTCTTGTTGTGGTAAATTAATTACTGTTGTCATGGTAACTTGGTTGCAGTTGCTGTGGTAACCGTAGAAACCACACCTGGACCAGTCATTCTGTGTTTGCGTCTCCTTCCTGTCCTCTGTAACCGCAGCCAGTCGAGGCAGATAGTTGCCCATCCTGAACTTAGTTCTGGTTCTGGTTGTGTATTCTGTCCAGTCTGAAGAGAGTTTTTCCTTCCCACTGTCACCAACGTGCTGCTCAGGATGGAAGACAGTGACAAAGTGAAGATTGGACACGATCTGCTGCCTCCTCAGCTTACGGTTCTGATGAATGTGAATGTTTTTGTGACCAGAGATGATGTTTGTTGTGAACTGGTGCTAATTAAAGAAACTGTATTAAATTTTGTGAAGTTTAAAAGTTCACCTAACAATAATCTAGCTTTTCCTGTCAACATTGGTGTACCACAAGGCTCAGTCTTAGGACCCACCCTCTTTACAATAGTTAATGTAGGTCAGATCATCCCTGATGCATCCTTACGTCTCCATGCTGATGACACAGTTGGTTACTGTCGAGCTACAGTGAGGACTGAACTAGACAAAAGGACCTTTTCCTACTCCGCTCCTGTTTCCTGGAATATCTTGTCAAAAGATCTGAAGCTCTCGACCTTTGACCTTATTTAGTTTTCATTTTATATGCTTGTCTGTTCCTCATCTGTTCTTTGTTTAAACCAGGTCTCTCTTGTCAACGAGTCCTCGAGGCTCAATGAGACTCACCTGCAGAAATAAAGGCTGAATTTGGTGGAAACACGCTGAATGATTTTAAAATAGTGAAGCAGCTCAGTGAAGAAAGAACCAAGTTGCGACGACAGTTAGTAACTTCCTCTACACTAAACATCTGGTAAATCTGCTAAATGTTGTAAACGTTCATGAGTTTATTGATAAAAAAGTCCGTTTTAAGAAGATGAACCGTTCAGGGACTCACCTGTGTCCTGGTTGTCTGACATCCAGATGGTCCGGCGCCAGTATCTTCAGAGAATTGTATAATTAGTGTTTTTTTTCACGTAGGGCTGACCCAACGTCCGGTTTCCTTCTCCAACCAGTTACTACACTCACACAGCTGACTTTGGTTTTACTGGTGTTTGTGTTGGACGCGCAGGAAAGTACGAGCAGTAAGATCTGCAGCTGTCAGAGTTCAAGTTGGTTTGACAGAGTCACATCTTTCCACAAACACAAACAGCTCCACGTGTTGACTGGAAGGATGCGAGGAGCTCGGGGAGGCCGCTGGTCGTCGTGGCAACGAGGCGTTCTGTGGACCG